GAAGAATTCTTCATAAAGTGAAAAAAATATATATATGGACAATAGTGAGCATTCTCTTCAGGGGATTTTTAAACAGCAACAGATTGTCTTCAGTAGGAGGTTCTCCAGATCCAGTAGAAGACAGACCTCTACAGAAGATCCTTGCTGCCTACAGCTATCAACAACTACAACGCCTGTTTAAAAAAAGAACTTAAGAGTTAGTGAAACATTTAATTTCCCATTGGGATTAATAAAGTATTTCTGAATTGAATTGAATTGAATGCAGTCCCAGTGGTCTAGTAGTTTAACTCACAAATTAGTTTTGATTATGGCATTTTGTTGAGAACTTGTGCATGGTCATTTTCTGTAGCCACAGTCAGGCCATATTAATGTCACCTGGTAGAATAAAGAAATAAGTAAAATAGAACCTGTCTGAAGATTCAAACATGAAGATGTTAAAAGCAATAAGTCATATCCAAATCAAAGAGCTCAAAGAACAGATGGAAAAGGAGATGACTAAAACTTATCAGTCTGGAAATGGTCCCAAAGGTCTGGGGCTCCAGTGAGAACCATTATCCAGAAATGGCATAAAGCACTGTGTTTATCCTCTGAGCATGCCTATCTGAAGTACACCATGGAATCAACAAGTTATCCATGAAATCAAAGAATGACCAATAACAACATCCAAAGCACTGTAGACCTCAGCTGCCTCAGTTACAGTAATGAAAAAATAGATAAGACGATAACTACATAATTTTAAATCACTATTAACCAAAAATGAATACGTGGAGCTCTTTCAATTTTGTGTACATAAACGTGCATTGATAAATTCCAAGAGATTCTACAAAATATGTGGAATAACAATAAAATATGGAAAGTTTTGGAAGGTATGCTTTTCCCTACATCTGACTTAAACTAGCAAAGCATTTCACAGAAAGGATTTCATACTTGCAGTCCATCATGGTGGTATTGGGAAATTTGATATTATTGAATTCCATTCTATCCAATACATTCCCCAAGGAGAAAGTCCAGACATTAACACAGGACTTTAAAATAAGAATTGGGGCAATGATTTGAAAGCCCCCCCACAGTACCACCTTAAAATTGCTCAAAAATAACAATTGTAAAAGCATAGATTTGGACTAATCGAAGTCTGGACATCTCTACCTGAGATTTTGAGGTAGGGTTAGGGAACTTAAAAAGACAATCTAATGTGTATCTCATGCACGCTAAACTTTTTCAACAATGATTAATTCTGTTAGTAATAAAGTTCCCAAACTTTCCAGCCTGTGACCCCAAAACTAACATTGCCACAGACTGATGATCCCCCTAAAAATACACATTACTTCTCTTTCTGGATAGATAGACTTCTTTAAAGGATCTTTATTTGGTCATAAGAAAAATGTAAGGTTGACAAAAACATCAGAATTTGGTAATAGCTTTAATCAGTTAACCAGTTTCTGTCTAAAAAACACCATTCCCTCTGTTACCCGAGGAGACCAATCCATCAAATCAGCTTTATCTGTTTTGATTTGTTTTAAAACATGCATACCTTTACTCTGTAGATTCATGCTGTGGGAAAATTGCATACAGTAGGTGCCATGGACCCCTTATAGGTCCTCATTTTTTGCTTCAATATGAACGTAAACCGCTGGCTGCTGCTGCTCTCTTGGAGGCTCAATGATGTTAATTAAATCCAAACGTCACGTATTGCATTAACAAATGTTTAGACATAAAACACATTACTACAACAGGTGGAAATAGCTGCTGTGAAGCGCTCTCAAATAATAAACGCCAGAAACAGTAATTCAGCACAAGATAACGTTTTTTTCTGAATGATCTCTCCTAATCCTTGAAGAAAACCTCTTTCCTGTCTGACCACTGTAAGTCAAAAACCTTTAAGTATGTCTGCCAACAGCATCGACACCCTAAGGCCAGGCATACACTGTGCGATTTTTTTCAATCGTTGCAAGCAGCCACAGCTGCGGTTTCGTCGTGATCACTCAAAGTGTGAGGTCACAGCTCACAATGTTTGTTCTCACACTGTGTGGCCTGACACTCTGATGTGATCTACCTGCTCACACTGTACGTCAAAAAACCACGTCCGACTCAGCTCCGCAGTGAGATGGCGCTACTCGGACTCGTCTATCCAGACTCCAAATGAGTAGATGAAGAATATGAAGCTCACTAGTGTAAAACGCGCTGCCTTGGCAAATTGTGCAATTTTGTGTGTTGAAAGACTTAAAAGAAAAGGCGACAACATATTTGGACAAAGACATGGCTGAGCGAACGTGGCTACTATGGTCCGTCATTTTTACAGAAAGAACTCCATTTCACTTGCACCCTCACCATGCTTCTGTGTTTTCATCTGAGAGGAAGAAAAAGGAGAAGAATCCTTGTTTGTGCACGTCCACTGAGCGATTTGCCCATGACGGCTGACTGAAAATCAAATATGATTTTTTTCCCGACCTCACAATTCCTGATCGTAGTCGTGAGAGGCTAATCGCCCCTTGTTACCCCCTGTACACTACATGATGCATGACGCACGATCAGGCTAAAGGTTGGCCCAATCAAAAAATTCTCAGACGACTGGAAACCCAGACAGAAGAGGGCAAAAAAATCACACAGTGTAAGCCTGGCTTAAGAGTTTTAGCCTCACTGGAGGTGACATATTTTGGAGTGTTTTCCAATCAGAGCTCTACTTTCTCGCTGCTTACTTCAATAGACAGAGACCCAAACCTCAACAGGGATTTTTATAGAGACTGACCGGCAGCATCCTGCTGCTCCAGAGCAGTGGAAGACTGAGAGCGGAATAAACAGCTGATTAATGGGCAACATACTCATGATATCAGCATTTTAGAGCATATTTAATTAAGTTTAATGACAACATTTATGAAGTTTGACACCACTAACATTAACACATGGCAACAAAGCTTGTCTGACTATAAGCAGTGACTCTGAAATCAACCTTTAATTACATAATCAGCTAGCCCGGATTCTCTGAAATGTTTTGAGAAGACAGGCAATAAGATGCCTTGTGAGCAGAGCTCTGACTATGGACTTTTGAGAGGACAGTAATCTATGTGTTTTCATACCTTGCCTGTTAGAGACGTAACGACCATTAGCTGCTGTCAGAACCACTTGAGGGTGGCTCTCCTCCAAGTCGAACAGTTCATCTTTGCCTGGTTTGGAGCATCGTCCTGACCTTAAGGTCCCTGTGGGGCCCATGGGAGATAAGTACTTTCCCTCGCAGTCTTTAAAGGCAAGTTTCCCACACTTTAGCTCTAGTGTGTATGCTGTGGCCCTCCCATATTCTTTCAGTAGTTTCCCGTCACTGCTGAGGAAGCGTCTATCGCAAGTCTTCAAGTAGTATTTTCCATCCAGGTAGACGAGAGTCAGGAGAGCTTCTACACCCCATGGAATGTTCCTGTCCACAGCGATTTCCCCATCCTCTGGGGAGAGGTGGGCATAACGTTTACGGGCGACAGACAGCAAGTTGGCTTGCGGATGTAAAGCCAGGTGCACAGCCCAGAGCTCAGCATCTGTGATCATCTGTGCAAAGCAAGACAGGTAGTCCCGAGAGCCACCAAAGAAGCGGAGGTATTGCTCAGACTGAAGAGCCCAGCGGCCGTCTGACTGTGGCACAATGAGGAAGCGGCAGTCTGAATTATGGCCATCTGCCTCACAGGTGACTTTGCCATCCTTGTCAGAAGCCAAGTAGCGTCCCAGATGACTGCGCAAATACACCACTTGAGTCTCCTGGGTGTCTTGCTCTAGAATCCATATTTGCTTCTTCTTCAGGCTTGGAGCTGATGCATTCAGCTGAGAAAAAAAAGGTGTCTTTTTGATATAGAATTTCTACAGATTACATGTACAATCAACAAAACTGTTTCATTTGATTGCAATGTTTACCTTAAACCCAAAGTTTTCTGCAGTAAGGTAGCGTCCCTCATGATTGATTAGACCAAACTGTAACTTTAAAGAACGATTTCCATTTGCAGGCATCTTCACCTTTGGATCGAGAGTTAGGAAAGACACATAAATAGGACTGGAGATGAAGAAGAGAGAAATATGAAGTTAGAAAGTGAGGACAGGGAATTAAAGGAAAAAGTATAACTAACTAAAGAGGAGAGGTAATCAAGCTGTGAAGAATAAGAAATGCATCAAAGTAGATGGCGAAATACAAAAGCTGTAAAATCAGGAAATAAATTCATTAGGGTGCAGTATATAAAGCACTCCCAAAACCACAAATACTCTCCCCCGCCAAAAACTTCATTACATATTTTCCCAGCCACAGCCTCCTCCTACTCACTGCGGTTTTGTGGCTTCTTACTTTACTGTTCCTGTAACTCCAATTCCAGCTCCCAGATTTAAGAGGCTTCTTTCACCTTTTTCTTATTTTCTAGCTTGCTCTTATTTTTCAGAATATGTGTTCTCTGAACTCAGCTCCACTGGAGCTCTTGTTCTCCCTAATCAGGTTAGAAGCAGTAGAGACCTGAGTCAGCCTTGATCTCTGTTCTGTCCAGTGTCAGCCCCTCTTCTCTGTGGTATAATTTTGCTCTTGACTGCTTTGCTCCACTTCTGAAGCCTATATCCAATTCCCCCCTTCTCTCCTGCTGAACAGCTTCACCTCTGTTCTTACAATACTTATTACCCCAAAAGACTTAATCTCTTGATGCCTCAAGACTTAAGTTCTCTTGGGTGTTGTCTGTTAGCTTATTTTCTTTTACTATGTTTGTATCAATCACATTAAGTCATTTTAAACTTTTCTTTAAAGTCCAAATTTCTAGTTTGTGATCTGCAAGTTTAATCAGAGATGGAGAACATCCCTAGAGGCCATAGAATATTAAGCCATTTGAATGCAAAAGCTTCCGATCACAACTCAAACCAGCTATGAACAATGCTCTTCTTTACAATCTTAAGCTGATGAAATGTTTTCCCATCCTTGCCTTTTTCTAACTTACCAGGTGTATAATCCTTCCTCTCTCTTTTTCTGCACCTCATTTGGAGCTCTGCTCTTCACCTCTTCCTGCTGTACATAAATAAAAGTGAGTAGAAACAATGCTCTAAACCGCTCCGAGTACCAGGTAACAAGAGCACTCCCTGTGCCTTTGAGGTACTTGCCTAGGCACGGCTCCTCTTCCCTGCCTGTGCTGGGTTTGATTACATTGCGTCTCTGATTGCAAGTTCTCTCAGTCCTAATGGGAAATGGTTCTGAGAAGCATTAGGAGGTAGACTTATCATCTAAATTTGGGAAAGGAGATGGTGGGTATAAAGGCAGCAAGCTATAAAACATTCAGGTATGGACTTGGTTTTGTTACCTTGTGGGAACGTTGTAAGGCAGATTTTTAATTATGCCACATCATTGGGACGTACATGCGCTTGTGGGAAGCGCTCAACTGGTCTCCATGAGGAAAATTTCTCTTCTGGTTGTCTGGGGGTTAGGGTTAGCTATATGTTGGTAATGCTTGGGGTAAGGCCATACAGTACCACTGAATGGAAGTCAATGAAAGCTCCCAATAAAACATGGAAATAAAACTTGTGTGTTGGTATCCCTGTCTTGGCATCAGAGTGAGGACCATTTTTTCAATTTCACCATTAATTTGAGGATTGGTTGTTGTGAAATGAAGACATTTATCTTGTCCCATGTAGCTATTTTGCTAACGGTTAGGTTTAGGGCAAAGATGTGAATAGAGTGTAGAGTTAGTTATGCACTGGTAATGGTTAGGTCTAGGGTTATTGACAGGGTTGGGGCATAAAATTACACAAGGTCCTCAACAAATATAGAAAGATGAGAATGTGTGTGTGTGTGTGTAATCAGCCTAGCCAATCAGCTTATTATAGGTCCTCTTTGAGGAGTAAACAGACGTGTCTGTGCCTGATTCCATCTAATCCACAACCCAATCATTGCAGCCTGGCTAATCTACTGTAACAGCCCCTCCGAATTTCTTCAACCTTCCCACATACATATTCCTTCACAACACACACTGACTTTTGCACTGCTTTTCGTTGACAATAAACATATGCCTTTATTTAATCACATAGAATAATGTAGATATCATCAAGAAGACAAAGGGTTCAGGAAGCTGTCAAAAAGGATTTGCTCCTTCTAAATGACAGCAAAAACATTGCATAAACTACAATTGTCAATGCATGACACATTTTCACTTAAAGAGATCCACATACTAAACTGTTGTGAAGAAGAAGTGTTAGATTGTTAGGAATGTTAGAGTTTTAAGGCTTTGAAAGTATCCTTTAAAATAGCAGCAGATAAATGTGAATAAACCCTGACACAGAGATATTAAAGGCATGCAAAACAGTGCATTTTTATTTGGTTTAATGTAAGACAACAAATAATGACTCAGGAAGGCATTAAACTGTGAGGAGGCTGAAAGAGAATGGGTTAGATAAGCTGGTCCCAGGAGGTCTGGTCGGGACAGGTCTAGCTGAAACAAAGAAACGGTTAGCTCAGCATGTCTGCCATAAGCTGCCAAATTAGCTGGGAGCTAACAATGCTAGCCAGTCCAATGCAGTAGTTTCATCGGACCCACGTGGCTCATTCAGTCTGTTCAGTGAGCATTAGCATCATTAAAACACTTAAAACCATCAGCAGTTTAATCAGAAGGCTTATTTAAAATAAAATACAAACATGACCATCTATTCTACCTAGTTACCCCAAGCAGAGCACTTATTAAGCATCAGATGGAAAAGGAGAAAGATGGATGTCACTGTTTTTGCTCGTTAGAGTGGAGGGCCTTCGCATCGGTTCAGTTTTCTGCAGGCCCCGTCTTCAGTCCAGTCCGTTTGTCCAAGAGAGCTAACCTATTCCCTGTTTCAGCTGGATTCGTCCAGACCAGAACCCCCAGGGCCAGCTAAGCTAACCCATTTATCTTACAGCCTCATCACAGTTTAATGCATTCCTAAGTCATTATTCATTTTTTACCATAAAACGAAATGAAACTGCACTGTTTTCACTGCAGTTAGCATCTCTGCATCAGGGTTTATTCACATTTATCTGTTTCTGTTTTAAAGGATGCTTTCAGTGCATTAAGACATAAAACTCAAATATTCCTAAGACTCTTGAACAAACTCTTGAACCCCCCTTCCCCTTTTGTCTGTTTATTTATTATTATTTTCAGTATTGTTTAGTGTATGAGTAGTTCTTAGATATAATTATTATAATAATATGTGATTAGTCGCTAATAAACATACCGTATATATACTGGAGTCACTTTTCTTTTTGCAGAATTCGAATGAACAGAGACAGATTTATTTGGTTGGTGATTAATATCTTTAGCCATAGCCATAGTCTAAATTACTAAATTGGTGAAAGACAGCTGAATTTTAAACTTCCAGATTCAGGAGTCCAACCTTTTATGTAAGATACTAATAAACCTGGTCAGTGAGCAAAATACAGTTTTTATAAATGAACTGATAATAATTATTCAGTTTTACCCTTGATTTGAATTACCTATTAATTAACTATATGTTCCAGTTGTGGTTATTTAATATATTCATAACCTTCTGGTAAACTTGCACAACATCTTTAAAACCGAAATGGGCAGTCTGACCAAAAGTGCCACAGATGATGCCATCTTAAAGATGTAGATATAGCAGGCAGAGGCCAATATTGCCAGGTCGCGGGATCCTATGAAATACTGAGAAGACTAAAAGGCAATCTATCCAAACCTCTTCTTTACGTATAATTTCTTTGCTGTCCAGGCTCATATGTGCCATCAAACTGGGTCTTTTCTAAAGAAGGAGAAGTTAGAAAAAGTCTTTCCAACTAACTAAAACAAGAGTAATTTTCAAAAGGTTTGAAAGGAAAGGAAATAATGATTTAAAAAATCCTTGTCCACAAGCATCCTCAGTAAAATATTACTTAAATATTTTCACATTATATATGTTCACATTATTTATTGACTGCAACTGGGAAGGACAAATATATTTTAAATTTAAAGGAAGATGTGAAATAATACAATATAACATTCAATATTGAACTCTGGGCATCCCTGCTTAGACTGCTGCCTCCACGAACCTGGCCCAGCTGAAGTGAAAGAAAATGGAGTTGGAATGGAACAACATACAATGTCCTAAATTATTGCACAACGTCATCAAATCAGTGTTAGTTATCTGACATATAGGCTGCATGTCAGGATTTTAAATGTCCAGCAGGTGTCAGTATTCAGTGACACAGAAGCACACTACCAATATATACATGTGTCCTCTGGCCAAGGACCGGCGACCCATGGCTCTCTGTTGAGATCCGATCCGGTCCAATTAGCGGCCCAGCAGTCGACACTTCATAATCCTTCTGATAAACAAAAATAATCCATGCCTGGCGATTCTTCAGATCCTTGGGAAGNTCCGGTCCAATTAGCGGCCCAGCAGTCGACACTTCATAATCCTTCTGATAAACAAAAATAATCCATGCCTGGCGATTCTTCAGATCCTTGGGAAGACTGTGAAAATGTTCCCCTTTTTCCGTGTATCCTGGAACACTGCATTTATGCATGTGGCCCTTTTTTCAATAGAGAAACTGCCTGCTTTGCAATTCTTGTAAAAGTAAACTCAACTGTAGGCTAAACAGTTAAACTAGTGCCTTACATCTTTGCAACCTCTGTTCATGTTCTTGGGCCAGTGAACCAGTGAGCTGCTCTGTATGTAGATTTCAGGGCATGACAAAAGTACAGACCAGAACCAAATAAGGCAACGTCCCCGAGTTGACGTCAATACGGTGCCTCGTTTGGATTGTTTGCCTGTTTTAAGTTGGCAGTTTGGAATTGTGAGATTTGCATCGAAAGGAGGTGTCGATGAGGTTTGAACTTCTCTGTACGTCCATTTCCCCCACTGAACTATCGTTATTCCTCTATGACAATGGAAACTCGGATTTGCATTCTATGACCCCTTTTAGAAAGGAGACGGAATTAATGATGAGTACACAGAATTCAATTCAATTTCAATTCAGTTTATTTATATAGCGCCAAATTCACAACGCAAGTCATCTCAAGGCACTTTACAGTTTAACCAGATCATCCAGTCAAATTGATTCAAAGTTTTCTATCTAAGGAAAACCAGCTGATTGCATTGACTCATTGAATCAGATGCAATCCCTCACACTAAATGTGCTTGTAGCGACAGTGGAGAGGAAAAACTCCCTTTTAACAGGAAGAAACCTCCAGCAGAA